CATATGCTCTGTGAAAGTGACTTAAGGAAGATTGAAGTGTCATAGAATCAGGATATGAGTGAATCTGAGACAAGCAGAACAGGATAACTCTTTCAGCATACGATTGTCGTACTCGATGTCAGCAGTATTCTTCCTGTAGACTACTCCAGCTAGACACCTTGAGGTAGTAGACAACCTTACTGAGCACCATATGGATTCTTCCAGATTGATAAACTTCTGTTTGTGCACTTGATGTGCCACTAAACAAGATCGCAAGTATAAGGCCACTCCGTCTCCCATTCCTGTTTTTCTGTCATTGCGAAACAAATACATTGCTAGCTCTTCATCCGTAAATTGAGAAGTTATTCCTATCAGATAAGCATTATTCAGTTTACTGAGTTCACACAGCTCATCCATTTCATTCTGCAAACTTGCGGCGTTTATACCTATGCAGTATATGCTTTCGAGTTGAATTACATAAGCTTCTCTATGCTGCTTATCTGTATGATCCTTATGTAAATGAACAGGCAACCTACTGCAAAAAGTTTTCAAGTTTGAAACCTCCTGTCCTTTCTACGCTTTATTTATGATCTAGACAGTCCACATGTTAAATAGTCAGCTTCAACTTTCTTTTGTGCTTGATACTGTCAACATATGACCTACATAGATGGGAAGTTCTAGAATCCGCATCCTTCTTGGCTGGTCTCACCACTTATTGAGCCCATATATTTTTGAGCTTCACGGACTGCTTGATGGATGTCCATTTTCGAACATTAGAGTCTGTGTGGTCCGGATCCATATTTGCTGGTACACATTACAGAACGATATTTCTTACGCCGATAAACTTCTCGTGAGATTCATTATGGATGTTCTAGATGAGATTGCGCTCAGAATACGATATATCAGGCAGCATTCTTACATTCCCATCTGATTTCAGTAAATGACTAGCCAACATTATATCCTCTACGACTAGGGTGATTTTGAAGCTTGGAGTGCTTTTTCTGAGTAAGCCATGTTGCCGTCAAAGGCTCTATTTTGAGAAGGTTGGGCTTCTCCCAGAGCATCCTATCGTGTTTGTTCTGAAAGCTGAGATGAATGTCAGGGTTGTCTTTAACGTTCATGATTATGAGAGAATCATCACAAATCGTCATTGTTTTCCCAGGTTTTCGGTTACATTCAGGTTGAGTACCATGTTGTTTGTACAGTGTACCCTCAAGAATTTCCAAAGGGTCATCAAAGATCACAGGAATCTGAAACGTTCTTCAATCACCAGCTGATTTCATTACAATATCTGGATGTTCAGCTTCTTAAACGGTGACACCCGGTCCTTTTTAAATTTGTTGACGAGGGTACAGTCGCATACAAGGATCCTGTGCTGGGCGACCAAAATTTGCTGAAGGAGTTATGATGGTGCTCAGCATGTCCTCACTAGTGTCATTGCAAGTCTCGTTGATACTAGCATTGTCGAAATTCATAGTCAACTATTTACTTAGTTTAAAACTCAAAGACAAAAGTAATCTATCAAACACAAAGCACAGGGTAGATTCTTTGGATCGAAAATGGCACTTTTGTTGCGTAAGGAAACAGCAAAAGTTTGAGAAATGCAAATCACATTAGGATCAATCTCCCGGTTTGTAAAGTGCACGTTGTCAAGCTCTGAATATCTATGGGATTTTCGACTTTTATATACTCAGATCCTTATTGTGAGAAAAAAGAGGTGCGTAGCTTTATAAAAATCAAGATTCGCTATACAGAAGACTCTTCTATTTGTTTCCACAAGCATTTAAATCATTAGAAATACAGTAAAAGTATCGTGGTTTCCATTTTCAGAGAAAGCAGAGTTACTGGAAGATTTTTGTCCTTTAAATGAACAAAGACACCCCAAGAATCTTTTTCTGCACTGTTGAAATCTTAATACGAGTGTGAAATAATCGGCTAAATAACACTGGTCTGTCATAAAGATATTGATGATTGGATGTCAACCTTGTTACTGACCTTGTTAGAACTTCACGACAATACAACTATCGTCAATTTGAATGTTTTCGACTTGGTTTATCGAAGTGTTCAGCGGATATTAGGTGTTACGTCTATGTATTTTGTCTGTTAAAAAGTTTTTTTGTTCCGTGAGGTTTATCCTTCATTAACATTACAATGCTGTTACTGTTTTTCGACATTTTTAGCAATCCATAGATTATAATCTTTCACTATTCAAGAAATGTTTTTCAGTATTCACACTGGCTTATTTTTCGGACTAAATATTAGGTATTGTCAAAGTTACTTGTATAAATAAGATTCAATCTTTGATATGTTTACTTATCAAAGGGATGATTCACGCCTACTCTCCCTACACGAATAGTGAGTTGTTTCCCGAGCCTCCAAGTTTGGGAAAATTTTGGGGTTTTTTGGGGAAACTCCGAAGTCAAATGACTTTAACCAAGGTTAAATGGGAATTGCGGGGAGATATTGGGGAGTTTCCACATGTCTAGGGGAATTTCGGTGTTCTAGTGCTATTTCCCCAAAGTTAACTATAGCGACTTCCCCAAAATGGGTCAAACTTTCACCGAAATTGGGAGCTTGTATTGTTTTCTGAGATCTCGAGGTGTACAAATATGAGGTAAAGTTTAGATGTATGGTGGCTGAATGAGGAATGTGGAAGAAATCAGGCCGGGACTTAGCTTTTTGACAGCAGTTTGCGAGATCTATATCATATATTTCTTTTTACCATTTTCGTGCCAACAAGTGATTCTTTGGAGAGTTTATTTGTCTTATGATACTCCTAATCGGTTATTTTTTTGACTACATGTCTTGAGAAAAGTTCATCTGAATCTAAATATGTCTTATTACCTCTACCACGACGGATTTGAATCGACAAGTGCATCTCTGTGCTAATGTGGTGTGGCAACTCGAACTGATGTACGTACGTACGAAGTTCTACGTTGTTACTGACTGACTGACTGACTGAATATGTCACGGGTGCACATCAGTCGAATCAGAATTCATAAGTGAAAGGACTCAGAGTTCATACATATCAAACGAATTATGTGAACAGCAGCATTATTATACTACTCGGAATCCAATATTTCATATTTTAATAGTATATAAATTTTCCATCTGTATCTATGTGAAAAATCGCGTGAATCTTCAGTATTTTCAAGTTTAGCTTAGTAATATTTATATTGTAGCATGTTATTATAAAAATGTTATTACAGCATAATCATGAACGGGAATACACAATTATAGAACCATCTAAAAAATCAGTTATCCAGAATGCATGTTATAGATGATTTTGATTTGAAGCAATTTATCGGCAGGTAAAAATTTGGAAAAAAACGTTTTCTATACAAATCACTTAGCACACAACTATAAAAAGGGACTGATAGTGAAAGATGAAATGATCTAAAACCAGACCCGCACGTCTGGTTTTCACCTAGTCCAGTCTACAATCGAAACGCATGTACGTTGCTGCATAGTTACTATTAGTTTATATGTGTTCAGTGTTGTGATATAATCATGGTATTAGTAATATCAGGTGTCGGGCATTTAAATATTTATGACGATTGTATCTATAGGATTGTTGCTTCCATTAAGTTGGGTCTGTAGATTAGCTACTGAGCATTAAAAATACACAGGTTTTGTTGTAAACAGTCTGTGCAATGTTTGACTTATTATTGTTATTATTATTATTATTATTATTATTTGGACACATGAATATTGGTACAAGAGAGCGCCAATATATATGCGCCACACAAAACAATGAGAATTCGAAGAGAAATAGAAAAAAAAGCTAAGGAGCGCAAAAAAAGAGAACAATAACGAAGAGATTGGTGTAAGGTAGTGTGGTAGTAATGAGGGAACGGAAAGGTACAATCGGAAGAAACCTTTCAGGTAAGGGAGACACAACCACCTTTTATGAAGAAAGTAAAAGAAGGTTACAGCAGGATCGCCATTGGCTTCTATTCTGAGCCATATCTGATAACGTCTCTAGCCACTGTGTAGCACCATCTCTCAGACCCCAACCACGGAGTCGTGGATGACCAACACAAGCCAGTCCTTTGCAGCTTTCTTTCATGCCACGACACCATGTCATGCACTGACCACCTCTCCGCTTTCTCCAACCAGTCCCAGAGTCGGCAAATAATGCACGACGTGGAATTCTCTGGGAAGACATTCGGATGCCCTGGTACGGCCGAGAGTGGGGTGAGTCCGCTCTCCCTCTCGAAATACTCTCACACGGCCGCGCGTATACAGCCTCTGCCAGGGAAGTCCTACTCATTGCCTTCTCGTGGCGGGGGTGTTGTTTACGAAAATGAGAGGGAGAAAACCGAATGTCCGGCGCTTTAACCGGATCACAAACCAATGGTGCCCATGGGCTCCAGTATCCTGCGGGAACAAATGGCGTATGAACCAATCTTTGGTCACCGGCTACCATGGGATTGCATCTCCTTACGATGCTCCACTGCCTTGTGGGTTAGACCTTTAGGTCAAAGGCTCGGGTGTGGCCCCTAAGAAACCACCTGCTTCGGTTTGGGCACCCGGGCACTATCAAAGCCCACACACAAACGATGAACTCTATGTCTATGGCAACTGCTCTTCTCGCTCCGAAAAAACAATGTTTGACTTCCTTGAAACCGATCGTATCTCGACATAGACATCTACAAATTACTGTTTGAGATGACTTATGTGCTATGATTTTTACTTTAGTGGTTGAAGGACAATCATTCATATTCACTACGTTCCTTCATCATCTGTTATTCACTATGATGTGTAGTTATTGTTCTTATTCGAAGTGCCAATCGTTAAAATGTGAACCGAAGTGGTTTGTCACTATACTACATTTAGCATTGGTTCTATTTTTGCAACACCTCAGTCCACGATGGGTGTATATGTCCACCTATTTATCTTAATGTAATTTTGTTTATTCATGTGTCTTGTTTTTTAGTTGTTTGGATTGGTTCACCTTGTTACCTACCCTATATTTGTATATAGATTGTGCAATTTGTTACTCAACTTGAATATCGATCATGGATTGTATGAATTCGGTAGATTCTTCACCTCCAGTAGTGCAAAAGTCTGCAAATGATTCGAGAGAATATAAAGTGATGCGTTTATGCAATAGGATGAAAGTGCTTCTTATAAGTGATCCGGAAACAGATAAGTCTGCAGTGTGTTTATCTGTGAACATTGGTATGTTGATGGTGGTTGTTTCAGTGTTATAATTCTAGGTTCACTGTCGGATCCGAAAGAACTGCCTGGTCTCGCACACTTTTGTGAGCATATGTTGTTTCTTGGTACAAATCGTTTCCAACAGAAAATACATATTTGAAGTACATAACCGATCATGGTGGTCACTGTAATGCTTTTACGAGTCCAGATAGAACTTCTTATGTGTTTGATGTTGCACCTGAAAGTTTGAAAGGTGCGTTGGATATTTTCTCACAGTTTTTCATCTGCCCTCTTTTCACAGATTCGGCAACAGAACGTGAGGTTAGTTTTAATCTGGTTACTGTACATGGCAAGCGTTTGTTTGTTAGTTTGTTGTGAATGGAACGCGGTTTCAATACTAGGACAATGATTTTCGTCTCGATGCACATGTTTTTTTCAGAGAAATTTTTGGTGCATATAAGAGTTTCTATCAGTTGTTTCATTTATTACGTGCAAAATTACAAATGTTTAGGTGGCGTGATATCATATTAAGTTAGTGGTATGAGGTCACTATATTCAAACATTCAAGGTTTTCTAAATATCATAGCCCGATCAATTACATAATATGTTTTGAGTTTTACCTCTGGGCTCAGAATTGATGGACACCACCTATAATTTTACAGTGAACAATGATTTTACATGATTTTGATTTGTTATGAAAATGTATCAACTGCATTTCACTTGTCGAATAAGAAGGATTGTGGTAGTTATAGAGCGTTTTTGCAATGATACATTAAATGTAAAACTGGTCTCACAAGACTTTGTTGATCGAACATTGCTATCTACTATGTGTGCACAGATTGGTGTTGTAGGTTGTCTTATTTCTTACTCTATTGAATACATCCTTCTCCGTTCGAGAATGAGATTACTTACTTACTTACTTACGCCTGTTACTCCCAATGGAGCATAGGCCGCTGACCAGCATTCTCCAACCCACTCTGTCCTGGGCCTTCTTTTCTACTTCCATCCAACTCTTGTTCATTTTTCTCATGTCTATTTCCATTTCTCGGCGTAATGTGTTCTTTGGTCTTCCTCTTTTCCTTTGGCCTTGAGGATTCCATGTGAGGGCTTGTCTTGTGATGCAGTTGGGTGCTTTCCTCAATGTGTGTCCTATCCACTTCCAGCACTTCTTCCTGATTTCTTCCTCCGCTGGGATCTGGTTTGTTCTCTCCCACAGTACGTTGTTGCTAATAGTGTCCGGCCAACGGATCTGAAGTATTTCGCGTAGACAATTGTTAATAAACACCTGTATTTTCTGAATGATGGCTTTCGTAGTTCTCCAGGTTTCTGCCCCATACAGTAGAACTGTCTTGACATTTGTATTGAAAATCCTGACCTTGGTGTTGGTTGACAGTTGCTTTGAGTTCCGGATGTTCCTCAGTTGTAAATATGCTGCTCTTGCTTTGCCGATCCGCGTCTTCACATCTGCATCAGATCCACCCTGTTCATCAATGATGCTGCCCAAATATGTAAAGGTTTTTACATCTTCCAAATCTTCTCCGTCAATTGTGATTGGATTGGTGCATTCTGTGTTGTATCGGAGAATCCTGCTTTTCCCTTTGTGTATATTGAGACCTACTGCTGCTGAGGCTGCTGCCACACTGGTCGTCTTTTCCTGCATCTGTTGTTGCGTTTGGGATAGAAGGGCCAGATTGTCTGCGAAGTCCAGATCGTCCAACTGCATCCTAGATGTCCATTGTATCCCGTGCTTCCCTTCAGATGTTGACGTCTTCATGATCCAGTCGATCACCAGGAGAAAGAGAAAGGGTGAGAGTAAGCAACCTTGCCTGACACCGGTATTTACCTCGAACGAGTTTGTCAACTGTCCTCCATGCACGATTTTGCAGTTTAATCCATCATAGGAATTCCGTATGATATTGACTATCTTCTGAGGCACGCCGTAGTGTCGAAGAAGTTTCCATAGTGTTGTTCTGTCCACGCTATCAAATGCCTTTTCGTAGTCAATAAAGTTGATGTAGAGTGATGATTTCCATTCAATTGATTGTTCCACAATGATCCGTAGAGTTGCGATTTGGTCTGTACACGATCTATCCTTACGGAATCCTGCCTGTTGGTCACGAAGTTGGGCGTCTACGCAGTCCTTCATCCTGTTTATGTGTAAAGTATTTTAATATGCAGCACCTGTAGGTGATGTGCCTCTTCCATTATATTCAAGGTTGTATTGTGAATGCAGGAGTCCAATATTTGCTTCTGCTTCACTGTAGTACAGCTGCAATCGTGGTGACCGACAAGCTAGATGGAGAAATATAGATGGTCTCATTAGAATGTTTTGTATTGTGTTTATGAAAGATAAACCAAGGTACACCTGTCTTGTACATATAGATAATAATTGATATTGAGGAAGGTAAGACTAATATATTAAAAAGATAAGCAACTAACGAAAGAGTAGTTATAGTCATAATGGATTTCTAGATTATAGTTTCGAAACCCCGTTTATCCACCTGATTTTAGGTAGGTTGGTAGTATCTCTCGTTTGCAGACACTAGCTGGTTATTGTAATGTAGATATTATGCAACTTTGTTCTAAATATGCTATGCGAAAAGCCGCCAATCAGAGGCAGCGAATTATCGATCGGGCTAAAGACTCGTAAAACACATGCGAGCAGCCTAGAGCCCTGATTGGTCCTGCTTGCCACGTAGCCCAGCCAGTTGAGTCAAGAACACCAGTCTCAGCTTCTGCAATATGAATAATTATATTTCAAGCATACTGAGTTTATATACCAATCTGACAGACAACAACGTACCAATAAAATGTGAAAAAACTTTTGTACAAGAATTAGCCCAATGTGTCTGTGAATGAGGGAGGTGGTAACTAATATACTGGGTATAACTCAAGAGTGGTAAAACGTATAATAATAGTTTAAAGGTCAAAATAAAGCTTATAAAAGAGGAATATGAATATGCATAGTTTAGTTAATTAATAATTATACAATAGAAATACACGTTTAGTATTGGTTCGTCAGTAGATCCCAAAAGTTACAATTCAATTTTCTTGTCGGGACATAACAAAATCAAACTTTATTTTATGACGAAAGTAAGGTCTTTAGACTTCGTGAAGAATTATTTTTGTGATTATTTCATCTTTTATTGTAAAATGTAATAGTTGAATGCCTTCTACTGCTTAAAATTTTGTGCTTGTGTGGGTAATTTTTTTTCAACGAAAACAGTTATTGCAAAGCACCAGTGCGTGCCAATCCACGTGACAGTGTTAGTGCATAAGTGATGTCAATCAGAAAATAAAGCCTACGACTGCAGATAACGGTGTCAAAAGTATATTGAAGCTAGAGTGAGAATAGGGGATAAGATTGAAGTCAAAATGTAATTTAACTTTATTGATATAAATATGTTAAAATTAAAAATTCATTTGAATTGTGGTCAATTTTGAAGCATATATATATATAGTTATTACTGACAACCTTTGTCATTCCAAATCTTTACATTCACCTATGTCAATTGTTTCACACTATATCCTACCTCAATGTAGAATTTAAACACATATTTGGTTGTAAGCAGCTGATAAGAAACCACAAAATATGATGAATTCATTTTATTCTGCATCCATGTTCGTTCTCGCTTTATATAAATTTTAAAGCACATTGCGGAACTGATCACTGATATTATTTTATTCGCATATCTTGGTTGAATAATGATCGTCAAAAATTGGTTTGTAAAGGGACTTGTTAGCTATTTTATTGCGGATGCGGTATAATATTTTGAATTTCGTAGCGAACTGAAAAAATTTCTTACGCTTTTTAATTGTGGTCGTATCACTCTTCCCAATTCTCAGGTGAAGGTCGTTAAAATACATGCTCCCAGACCTGATATCGTCATTACCATATTTGTAAACAGAAGGGACTTGATTGTATTTTTTTTACCCTCTGTCAGCTTGTTAATAGACGTTTTCTAAATAAAAGTGTTCTGATTGGAATTATCTTGAGCCCCGCATTTGTTTTCTGAAGTTATCAATATGGAGTTTATTAGCTATTTTATTTAAAACACTTAGTAATACCCGTTGGCTTAGTCAATTATACTTGTTTGGTGGTACTGGTACCCAGTAACAATGTCATAGATAATTTACCACAATAATTTTACTGTTTTGACTACCACTAACAAGCCACGTTTTAATTTTAGGTGAGTGCTGTACAAACGGAACATGAGAAGGACATTAGTAATGATACTAGACGTCTTTTTCAGCTAGAGCGAAGCTTGTCAAAAAGTGGTCATGATTATACGAAATTCCTCTCTGGTAATCGATACTCTTTATTTGAGTCCAGTTGTGCACAATCGGTGAATACACGCGAAAAGTTGTTGCAATTCTATTCAACATGGTATTCGTCAAATGTGATGGGACTAGTTATTCTTGGAAGAGGTACATAACATGTAGTATTGTTGAATTGAGATTGATTGGTGAGGTTGCTGACTTTTGAGATGTAAATTTCTTTTAAAAGATTAGATGTAACTAAACCATTTTATGCTGTTCACCTTTCTCATCAGAAATCGAACACAATCATTTTATTTTAATTGTGATCTGTTAATTACAGGTGACAAAATGTGTTAGTGATGATGACTTCAGTGTATTGGGATCGATTACCTACAACTATGAGTTGACGATAAGATCGAATATTTTCAAGTTGTTTGTACAGATGAGGATAGTTAGTATGTCAATGTTTGTAGGGTTGAGAGCATTTGGAGAGCAGGTTCTTCAGTTGATAAAACCATTCATACGTTTCATCACAGTACTAAGCATGATTGGCTTCCACCAGACGACTCTGGAACTGTTATCATACTAGTTTTTTTGACATGTTGCCTCCTGATTGATCATTAGGTCAGGATGTCAGACTAATACTTATTCTATGTTATTCTGTTCATGTATTAGTTAGGGCATCTATTTTACGTGTTAGAGTGTTTGACTCAGTGGCCATGGAAATCAAGGTATTACCAAGTAAACTCATAAGCTACTCAATAATCAGATTGCTTTCAACAGCTTTTGTGTCTGGATTATTTTGCTTTTGGTTACTAACGATGATTCATGGAAAGTACTAGATAGGTGAGGAAGAGAACCGGTGTAGAACGAAGCTGGTTAACAAATTGGCCGAGAAGGTGGTACAATGCTCCATTTTGTGACTCATATCTAACTTCTGAATCAGATATTTCCGACTTGTGCATGTTACAAGCATAGCGACTACAAAATTGTTTAGTTTATATTTCTTCGTTTAATTGGAATTGGTTTTAAATACTAAATGTGATCAGTATTTACTTTTCCTTCGTGTTTGTGATTGTTTTTCATGAAATGTTTTCAGAATCCATAAATGACCTAGAGAAACTTGCAGAAGATAAGTTTTCGGAAGTTATTGATCGTAATGTTGTGCAACCATCATGGAACGATACTCCATGGCCTGATATATGTCTCAAGGTAACACTTTCATTTGACTATTATTATATTTAAGATGTTTTGTGAGTAAAACTATGCATATATGATGTTGATTGTTGCGTATGTGTTTAGTCTAGAAGATAATTAGTTGATTCCAAAAAGTGTTTAAGTTCATATTCTTGATTGTCGCTAATTATGCCGTTTGGATGCTGCGTTTTTTAAAGTTAGAGTAGGTTACTGTAAATTAGATGTTGAATCATTATAATGAATCGTGAAGTAGGTTATGTGGTAATATAAAGAGTGATAAGAAACAGTTTTGTGAAGATAGTTTTTGGGTGAGCAATGTGACTGTTGATTGCCTATAGTATGATGAACACGTAGAATGTGAAGTTGGATACATTGAAATAGGTGTAGCAGAGAATAATGGCTTAGTAATAATGTTGCGTCGAGTGAAAGGATGTGATAAATAGTAACATGATCATTGTCTATTATCAAAGGTATGCTGAAAATGAATTTAATGGTTCCTTTGCAATACTGTTGTTTTACCTGAGACTCAAACGTATGAAAATAACAGTTGATATTTATTGAGCATTATAGTTTCCAAGTTGGATTATGGAATAACGATGATGTGAATTTTGTTTTTATCGATATGAACATATTGAGTGATATTAGTCTTTTAGGTGTTAATTAGTTTCTAGTCTGTAGAATGTCTCGTGTGAAGTTTGCTTTTCTCTGATGTCAAATTTGTATCAGAGGCTTCATGGCTGTGAGAAGCATCAATGCAGTGCAATACTACTAGGCATTGCCAGAGATCAGTGAGAATAATATGACTGAGTAATGCCAATCACATTTCAGTTAGTGTTCTATTCAGAAATAAAGTCATGCATTTTGAATTTTAAAAAATTAGAATGTGTATGTGCTAGAATGTGGATTGCTAAATTGTCGACCTGTAGAATCGGAGTTGTGTTGTCACTGTGATTGTAAACTGCGAATGAAACCAGTGATTTATTTTCCTTGAACTATATAATGTTTATCAAAGTGTTAATAAATTGTAGTTTGGTAAATTAGAGAATTAAGGTAGAATAAATGTACATTTTGATTTTATCACAGAAAATGGTATATGTCGTCCCACTGAATGACGTCCATCAAATGAATATAATGTGGCCTATTCCTGACTATATTCCAGACTATACAGCTCAAGTAAGTTATTGTTTTGAATTGGATTGATCAGTTATGCACAAATGTAGATTCATTGTTCATTTTATTTTTTTCCTCTATATTGTTTCGAAATGTTGACGTGTGTCAATCAGTTTTTACATTTACTTATAATCGAGAATGATTTGCACTAATAGTTCTGATATTTGTGTTTTCGACTGATAAATGTTGGTTCTGTGATAGAAGATGTGGGTTAAATGATAAAATAAGTGGTAAGCGGAATTTCGTATTTGTGACTGAATAGATTTTATATCTAGTTTCTAACCATTATATCGTATATTGGGACATTGTCTTTATGTCTGTCATTTCGCTTAGTTCATTTTTAAATTCTTTCTTCATATAGTGTGCACTAAAATTCTTTATGCGTACATAGTATTGCTTAATTAACGTTAATCTATTTTCTATTTTAGAGGTTTTTTCTTATATTGTAAAGGAAGTTATACTTGGTTTTAGATTATGACTAGCCGACGTGTCCGTCATATGCTCAATTTGTCTTATTTAAGTATTCGTATCTGAATATTCGTCTTATTTTTGTTGTCATGACTGGTAGTTCTTTTTACTCGAACATTAAATGATCAATAAGTTTTTTTTACTGGATATATCATATTATCATTCGAAGAGATTTGTGTTTGAGTAATTTTTTTTATATTTGTGCACCATGTCTAGTTAGTCCTTATGTTTATAAATTTTATTACATTTTAGTGTTGTCAAATACACTGACAGTATGCTATGCCTGGTTAAAATTTATTCATGAATACCAGTAACTTGGAGACACAAATCTTAAGAAATAGTTATGCTCAATCTAATTGTTGTACATATTCAAGATAATAAGAATGAAGATTTGAGCAGAATAGCATGAATTCATTTTATTACGTTTAGTTCTCATCAGCTGCTTAAAACCTGTAATATTTAAAAATGGGTTCAAATTACTTGTATGAGAGAGTTTAGTTGAAAGTCGCTGTAATCACATATTAGTATAGTATAGCAAAGTTGTAAATCGCTTTAATAGACTAAACAAAATATTGTAAATTTATATCTTATTTTAAAGATCATTCTATAAAGGTGAGTGCAACAAAAGCCTAAAGGTCTAGAAGCAAGTGGTCTCTAACGAGAGCCAAACGAAATAAAATGCATTCTGGCTTCCTTCATGATTATGAAGAAACCATATGTTGTTCTGATGTAATCGTTTACCATTACGAAGATCGTTTTCCTGATTGATTGATATCAAGTAAATAATGACTGAATATGAAGTTGCTTTCATGCGTTGTTTTGATACATTTTTCTAATACAGTCAGTATCAGTCTATGATGTAAGCTTTCTGTTAAATTTGTCTACTTACCACAAACATATTTTATTATTATAATTGTTATTTAAATATGATTTTCATCACATAGTGTAGAGTTAAAGCTTTTGACTTTCAAGCGTCGCTCCACCCACTTTGTTTGGAGCAACCCGTTAGTATTATCAGGCCTTACACACAGAGTGTGGCTCATATTCCAAGCACCTAAAGAATGCGTTAATTTTTAGGTATATGTACTGACGTTTTCTTTCGATCCACTGCTTACCAAAAAGCACTGAACATGCATTACATTCTAGCTCATTACTTCTTGATAGTTTGCACCCACGGTCTAATACAGAATGTAATCCGATAATTCCTGTCTGATGGTGAGTGCTCTAGTCTCAAGTTGTCGAGTTAGCACTCATTGATTCCCACTCCTGATTTACTACATTTCACATAGTTTTATTATTATCGACTCTAAGATTTAGTAAGAAGTCATAAACAATGGAAGTAATGTTATCTATCTTAGTGAATGATAGTCACTCTAAATCATCAATTGAATTAGGTGAAAAATATAGAACACTGAGTCTTGTCCCAATGATTTGAAATATATCATTGTCTACTAGACACTTGAAAATCCTCGGCACGATTTCGTATGCAATCATTCTAAGCTACTGCTAAACAGATATAAATTAGGAGTTAATAACATTTTGATATCTCTTGGTTTTAAATAGTTTCTAATCTGATATCAGTTGTAGATAAAACCTACCCTCAGATGGAATAAGTTTCTGAAATTTTCTATCTTCATTTCAATTATTTGTGTGATTTTTCAACTCACATGTTTACAGGCCACTAGTTATGTGACTTATTTACTTGGTCATGAAAGTCGTGGAAGTTTACTGAGCTTATTCAAAAATGCAGGCTGGGCTAATCAACTAACATGTGATGTTAATAGATCAGGAGCTGGGATTTGTTATCTGAATGTGTTCGTTCATTTAACTTTGAAAGGACTTGGTGAGTTAATTGGTGGTTAGATTTCTTATTTCCTAACGTTATTGAGAATAACTGTATATGGTTTATATATATAATTAAATGATATATATATATCATATAATTAATTTCTTGAAACTTATTTTTTGTAGAGAAATCAATGAGATTATAACAAATATATATCAATACATCAACATGCTTCACTTTGATGAACCAAAAAAGTGGGTGTTGGATGAAATACAGGTAGGATTTGGATTTTTCTTCAACCATTTCGAACTTCGACTAGACAGTGTTATATTATTAAGATGTCTATGTTGTATTATTACTTGTCCGATGAAAATTAACAGTTATGTTGTATCTGTGGATTATGTACAACAACACAGACATATATGCGCATCGGTTTAAGTTTACGCAACTGATAAGTAAATGAAACCACTTTTACCTCTTACTCTTCTCTGCCTTGATGACTTTAGACTAAAAACACCGGTTTTTGAAGATGAAGCTTTTTAATGTTGAGCCACCCATAATCCATCAAAAAATATATTAAGTTTATCGATTATATATATCAAAACAAATTATTCAGAATATTGAAACTTAGTATTTGATATTAGCACAAATCAACTAGAAAATGTATTGAAATTCCCTGAACAAAGTTCTCACTTAATAATACACTACAACAGTATTTCAACCCAATCGATATTGATTTACTTCTCATAAGTTGTAATTTCAGACTGCAGATCTCTTGAACAACATCAATGTAATGATGAATTAATAGGAAATTTAAAGTAAAGAAACAATTTAGTGGTCAATCCAATGCAATTATTGGGGCAAAAATAAAACTATGCAACTACAGCTTATAAAGACCAAATGAGTATTTCTTTTTTTCATTTAGAGAATATACAAATCAGTTTTTAACTATGTTTAAATGTAAGTTAACCTATCCAGTGGATTTTTTTTAAAACTGCTTACTTGTAGACTTTATGGAAACTAGGCTTTCGATTTCAAGACAAAGAGACACCTTATGAATACGTGATAAGATTATCCCGCAATTTGTTGGTGAGTACTATCGAAAACAAATACTTTATATTTTTAAAGTCTTTGATTACCCTTAAAAACAGTATAACACGTTCAATAACCTATTTTCTAATTCTTCAGATAAATCGACTTTCAACATTACTATACTGGCTTTTAAGATTAGTTAATAGAAAAATAATCTGACTAACATATAAATAGTTGTTTACCACTTTTCTACTTTTTTTTCTAGACTTATAAGATGCAAGATGACGTAAATAATCCTTTTATGGAAACTGTCTATGATCCTAATTTAATTAAGAAACTTCTAACTTGTCTTACTCCTGATAATAGTCGGTATGTTTACTGGTTATTTTGTAAGGTTTCAATTCTCAGCGTCATGTTAACTTATAATATTTACAGATTTGAAAATGTAGTTTTGAATTTTTTGTTATCTGATGGAAGTGTAGCTTTCTCATTGTAATGTAGTAATTTTGTTCCTTAACTAACATCAATTGGTCACGTTAAATTCAGTTATTAACAGTAATAATAATTTAGTACCTTGTGTTCTATTACAGTGAATAATTCTCAGCACAAATTTTCAATAGTGTAACAAATTCCTCTTTAATATCCACTTAACGTTTTAAAACTTGGAGTTTTTATGCAAAAAGTTTATGGTATGGAGATTGTGAAAATTGGTCGCGCTATATCTCGGATCGATTGGAGTTAGATGCGTACGCCATTGAATTTAGGTCTAGCTGTCTAGAGATATTTTGTATTCGTGAGCGAAACCTGTCTTTAGTCCAATCATCGGTTAGTGGGTCATAGATGCACTCTGCTGAGGAGTCTTATCCAAGGATGAAACAGTCGTCCAGTGATTTTAGTTTTTCAGCATTTATCTAACTTAGATCAGCTCATGATTCCAACAAACGTTTTACAACCACGTTAATCGCCGTTTATTTGTATTTGATTGACTTCATTAATATGACATTTTTCGTCGTCTAATAAATATTTTCATATATGGTCTCCATTCTCCATCGCTTTTCGTTTCTCCAAAAATTTACGAGATGACGAATAAACTTGACTGTAACCTGTATATATTATACGGTTTGGTTACATAATTTGTCAGTTAGAATAAATTAAAAATCAGAAACACTTATTGTAGTATTTGTAAATTTAATAAATATGTAGCCCCAAAGTTTGTCAGAGGTGCTGTATGCTCACTGAACATCACTCGTGCCGATGAAAAATATCGATTGTTACAAGTGCAAAAATATTTACTTGCTTACTTACTCTTATCCCTCGTGGAAGAGCATAGATCGCCCACTAGGATTCTCCAACCAACTCTTTCTTAGCTCACTTTTCCAGTTGTTTCCAATCGCCATTCATTCTTTTGATGTCTGCTTCCAATTCCCGACTCATTATATTCTTCAGTCTTCCTCTTTTACGTTTCCCTTCAGGATTTCAAGTTAACGCTTGCTTCATGATGCAGTTTGATGATTTCCGCAATGTATGTCTTACCCACCTCTAGCGTCTTTTACTAATTTCCTCTTCAACTGGAAGCTGACTTGTTCTCTGTCGCAGCGTGTTGTTACTGATAGTATCTGGCCAACGAACCTGGAGTATCTTGAGTAGACAATTGTTTACGAGTACTTCTACATTTTTGATGATGGTTGTAGTAGTTCTATAGGTTTTACCTCCCTACAGCATAACTGTCTCGACGTTTGTATTGAATATTCTGACTTTGATTCCGGTTGACAGTTGTTTTGAGTTCTATATACTCTTCATTTGTAGGAATTCTGCCTTTACTTTTCCAATTCTTGCCTTTACGTCTCCATCGGATCCTCCTTGTTAATCGATGATGCTTCCCAGGTACGTGAAACTGTCCACATCTTCCAGAGTTTCTCCATCAAGTGTGATTTGATTAGTATTCTCTGTGTTGTATTTCATAGTCTTGCTTCGTCTTTTCTGTATGTTGAGACACACTACTGCAGTGGCTGCTTCTCCCTCACTGCTTGTCTTCATCTGCATTTATTGATGTGCACCTTCACGAAGGCTAACAGTCGTAAGTAAGTAGGTAATGGGATAGGAGAGCTAGGTCACTTGTAAAGTCATCAAGCTGCATGCGAGTTATCCATTGTATTTCGTGCGTTCTCTGAAATGTGAAGGTTTCCATAATCCAATCAACCACCAGAAGAAAAAGAAACGGGGGTAGTAAGCAGCAGCCTTATCTGACTTCTGTCGTCGCTTGGAATATGTCTGTCAGCTGTACTCCACGAACGAATTTGCAGTGTAGTCCGTTGTATGAATTCTGGATGATGTTGACGATTTTTTCAGGTACACCATAATATTGAAGAAGGATTTATAAGGTTCTCCTATCCAAAGTGTCAAATGCTTTTTCATAGTCAATTAAGTTGATGTATAGTGATGAGTTTCATTCAATTGATTGTTTAACAATTATCGTTAGTGTTGCAATGTAGTCTATCTACGACCGATATTCACAGAATTCAATCTATTGATCTCGAAGCTTGACGTCTACTGAATCTTCCATCCTGTTCAACAACATTGCTGAAAACGTTTCTTAGTAATAATAATAGTTTGATGTCTCTGTAGTTTTCACACTTCCTGAGATCTTTTGTATTTTGGTGAGGTATCCTTTCTTCCAGTCCGTCGGTGCTTTTTCTTCCCCTCAAATCTTTCTGAATAGAAAGTGGAGTGTTTGCAGCTACTTCTATGCGTAACTTCAGTGCTGCTTTCCTGCTCGTGATATGTCTGATGACCATCCTGAGTTCTTTAATAGTTGGTGAAGTGACATCTCTAGGAAGATCTCTATGTGGTGCTTTGATATCCGATGGATTGAATAGATCTGGTCTCTTCAAGAGTTCCATCCATCTGTTCCTCTTTTCTTCAATTTCGCTTATTGTGTTGTCTTCTTTGTCATTGACTGATCTCTGCAGTTTACTATATTTCCTACCAGCTTCTTCGTTGTGCTTGTTTGCTTCAGTGTATTCAGCTTGTGCCTTGACTTTCTCCGCTTTTGTTCGACTGTTGTTAATTTCTGTCCTCTTGTTCTCTCTTTCTTGAATCCTGGTCAGGGTTTATCTGGAGGTGCTTGCCTTACGATAATGCTTCTTGATGTCCAGCACCCCGTGGTAAGTTGAAGCTAGTGTTTCTTCGATCTCTTTCCAATCGTTCTCTGTACTAATTTCTTCTTTGAACAGATCTTATGAGACTTGGAACCTGTTCCTAAGAGGTTAGGTTTGTCAGTATATCGAAAGAAGGCTGTATTAAACCATTGTAATGCTGTCTCTCCAGATGTCCATTGCTTCTTTAGCTTCAGTTTCATCTTGGCAACCACTTAGTGGTGATCTCCAGCTCTATCAGCTCATCTCTTGGTTCTCGAGTCTTCCATTGACCTTCTGAACTCGTTGGTGATGCAAATATGATTGATCTGGTTCTGTGTAGTGTGATCCTGCTAGACGAATGTGATTCATGAATGAGTTTGTGGGTGAGTACAGTGCCACCTATAACCATTATGTTGAGGCCACATTTTTTCGCCTTTCTATCAGTCCACATCGTACCATAATATATTCATATCCGGTGTTGTCCATTCCCACTTTGACGTTTAGGTCTTCCATCAGGATAGTCAGGCCTTTTTCCGGATACTTCTCTACAGTCAGCTGCAATCTCTCGGTAAGTTGGTCTTTATCGTCGTCGTTGTCAACATTGATGAGTGAATAGCACTGGACGCAATTCATTGTTATTATCTCCTTCTTTGTTTTGAAGGATGCTTTGCTGACTTCCGGACACACGAGATTCCCATCCTATAAGTACCTTACATGCTTCTCTGGACAGTATCAATGCAAATCCTTGTGTGTGCAAAGCATTTTCATCTTCGTGACCAGAGTGCAGAAACACCTCTCCCGAATCTAAACTTTTCTGTCCAGCTTGAGTTCAGTATCTTTTACTCTTTCTTAAAGCCACCAAGTTGTGTCTGTTTAATTCTGTATCTCTTTTGCTGGTCCTCCCAGTTTCTCACATTGTTCAGAAATTCCATGTACCTATACGGTTTGTTGCTTTGGTTGTTCGAAGCGCCATTGGTCTCGTAATTTTCGAAGAATCTCGGGTTACTCCCTAGGGCATCATAATTCTTCTGAGTGAAGTTCCTTGAAATCGGGGCGGGGCACATTTTGAATGGTTTTAATTATTTTTTTTCTGGTTACGGTTTTTTACCAAGTCTGTCTTCTACGGAATGTGGTTGGCGACCTTATTTCCAGCCTTCCTCCTTTACCCGGATTTGAAACTGGCAGTAACTGTAGAAGGGCTGCAAGCGGATTCTTGTTCTACGCCGACAACCTCAAAATTGTTTGCTATTGTTCGCATAATGTAGATACTTCTGTAAAAGATATTTAATAAGACATTGGTCAAATGTAGATCTGGTGCAGGTTTCAGAAAAAAGATCTGAGAGTTAATTTCTTATTTAGCTGTATACTGTTATTGTCACTTTAAATATTCAATGATCACCTATTCTTGATTCAGTACGAGATTCAGGTGTAAAATAGTCCTCAGCATTTTGTCAATCTGAATATGTCAACTTTATCAATTATAAAGAGTAAAGACTCATGGGCTTTGGTATTAAGAACTTGGTAGCTTGAATATACGTGTAGAAAGCTTCATACTTAAAATGTTTGTTTGCGGTTTGTCTTTTAGAAAATAGATCATAGGAGTAGAATGGAAATATTTTATGCATAAAAGTGATATTGTTTTGCTGACAACATAAAGTATATTTCCTCACTACTTTAATATTGTGTTAACGTTGTTTTACAGCATCTTTTTACTTAGTAAAACGTTTGCCGACAAATGTGTGGAGGAAGAACCCTGGTATCACACTAAATACCTTGCTATTAATATTGCTGAAAATACCTTTTCAGTAAGTCATTGTTCTTAGCAAATATTGTAATCGAAAATCTTATCCTAATTAAATATCTTTGTTTGAATTGTATTTGATAATGCGAAGCTGTTGGATCTTATTTAAGACTGATCAGCATGCATACGTGCATCTGAATTTTATAAAGGTTTTTCGGTTGAAACTAGAACTGTGTTTGATTGCTTGAGATTCTGTAGTTATTCGAATTGTGAGTAACAATATCCATCGGTTGTTCAGCAAAACGTAGTTATAGAACCTTGGTCACGCGGTCGCGTGCCTTCATATGCGATGCTGGTTAGCATATGTGTGTGATAAAAGAAGTTTGGATACGATCAAACTAGTATATGATATCATTTCATAAATCCATGAACTCCTAGTGTGAGTCGTTATACATGTTAGCCTAATCATCGTATCTTATATTCGTAGACACTAGAATAAGTGTATCAAAATGGCTTAGAGTGGCACAGTTACGTCTATTTTTGTCTTCTTTGATTCATGTGTTTTTTCAGTCAAAATACACTTAGTATTCTTTACACCTCGTCGAAATTCATTCAGACAATTTAATCCTCATTTCCAACAGATTCTTACTTCTTGTAAGGTCTTTTCTTTGCTCTCCTCAATTTTTTAAGTTTTTGGGGGTCATTCGGTCGAATTTTATCGAGACTTTTTGACTAGGACATCAAACATAGAAAACAGGAATTATCGTAACAAGTGAAAATACTGACTTTATCGTCCAGAAAGGCATTTGTACACAAATCCAGCTGTGTTATTTCAAACATGTTTTTCGGGTATAGGATGTTTTCTTTTCACTAGACTTTGTGGTTTGATGAGAAAGAAAAGCCTTTTCAAACCTGCCTTATATTTTGGGCGGAATAGGAACTATACGGTGATCAGAACTGAGAAGCAGAGCTCATTTTTTTAATCTCATATATCCTACATAACAAACTGACCGACTAAATACACAATTAACAAAAACTAGATTTAATGTGAATATCAAGATGAGGAGGGACATCAACTAGTTTTTGGTAATGTAAAAGTGGAAGTTTCAACTGCATGGATTGAAGTCATCACATACCAATGAGGACAGAATTAGCAAATTTAGTGAATTCATCGACGAAAATAATTTGTATAAATTGAGTGGATTCCGAAGTTTCATAAATGTTGGTAAAGTAAGTTTGATTATGTTTGTTCAAATATGTCGAACTATGTTTCAACGTTAAACAACTGATAAAATCTTCCGAAAATCTAAAACCTCTTTTTTGGCCTTTTGTTCTGATTTCTATTTCGAAGAACGAATGAATATACTCTAAACATAAATCTTTCATTTAACTCCGTATATTACCTAGGCTAACTCCTTTTGTGTGACAGCGGTATTAAAAAGCCAAATACGGGTTGCGTTGAATGAATTTACTTCAAGCGCTCGTTTATCCATACAGACATTCAGGAAAAGAAGCGTGAAAGCGAAGTGGAGAAGGCGATCAAGCCAACTCGTTTTGATAAAGCGTAACTCAATATTTATAGCCAGATAAAAATTAGCTACAGACTGTGATGAATAGTGTAAGCAATACACACACGCTCATATAAGAACAGTCAAGGTTAATAAGCGAATGACTGACAAGGTCAAAATGAGGCCCGAGAAGAACAAAGAAATTGGTCTGTACAGAAGCAAGAATAACCCATGTGGGCTTGACATCGCACTAGAAACTATAACCTACATGATTAGACTGATACCGAACATAGCAGCATAAGCACACTTTTTCCATTACTGGGACGATTCTTGAAATCATGTTGTCATATCATATTATTGTGTAAGTCGTGAGACTGAAATTAAGAAGTGATTATACGACAATGAAAATTCGTGTTTAGCCAAAACAAAAATAGGTGATAATTCACTTTTGTGGTTTGTGGTTATTTAGCTCAAGCAGCCCTCTTATTTATTTATACTACCTTTAAAGGTCGTGTCTTCGGAAGAGGATATGGATTTCGCTTCTTTTTCTTAATCCCTGTTCAATGTGGTATCAGGCATATGTCAATTTACTAGTCTTTAATGTTATGATGTCCAGTACTGATACTGATACGCAATCCTCTCTAATCAAGAGTGAGAAGGTAGCTTGTATTGGGTGACCGATTCGGCTTGGGTGTACACTCTACATATATTCTCTACAATATGTAAGCATTTCTTGGCCAGTCACGTGTACATTTACCCGATATCTGATTGGCTTATTACACTATTTATACAAAACTTTCACCTGAAAACCAAGTAGAGAAACTTTCGTATGCCTACTGAATTACGCTACACCACTTCTCCATTAATTTCACTTGGTGAAGAAAAAAAGTTATTGCTATGAATTGTTCATATAATTATCTGTTTTCTTTAGCAATTCTCGCTTTTTTGAGTTTTTTTTGTTTCTAATAATTTGCTTCTTCGCCAATAGGCATGGCGAAATAGTCCTTCTAATCCAGAATTGAGATTCCCCGAGCCGAATTCATTCATTACTACTGAATTTGATTTGTTGCAAAACAAATGCCCCATGAATGTGGAAATGCCAGAATTATTAATCGAAACAGAGATGTCTCGTATTTGGTACTTTCAAGATACAGAATTCAATCTTCCCAAAGGTTTTATCAAATTTCATATTGTCAGGTTAGTTTCTCTCTCTCGTTTATATTTATAAATAGTAATCATTATTATGCTGGATAAGTGGATGTTGTTTCTGTCTGCTTATTGTAACTTTTTCACGATTAAATGTTTGTTATTTCTTTGCTTACATTAACCAGTATTAACTTATTTAGTATAATCTTAATTTAATGAATTCATTTACAAGTATAGGGGTTGTGGAGATTATTAAGTTTTTGATTGAGATCATGAACCGATTGATGTTAGACCACCTTTAGAAACCTGGAAGCACTGGATGGCCGTTTCTTCCTATTGTGGAACCCTGCTCGCGGGGTTCGAACCCATGGTCTGCGGTCTCGCGCGCGAACGACTAACCTACTGGATTCATTTATTTACTACTCCTTTTACCTTATTTAATGTTTCATATCTTACTATTATGCAAAGTAATCAATGACGTCCTTAACCATAGTTTCAGTTAATTAATATAAAATTAAACGTTCATAATATTCATATTTATGACTTACTACATAATAGTACTTATAAATATTTTATAAGTAATTGTTTGTTTTCTATTTTTCATTATAGTTTGTCAACATTTTGTAGTCCTTTACATGAAATACTTTGTGCGTTTTATGTAAACTTGTTTTTGGATCAGATTTATGAACTTAATTACTCTAGTGTGTTTGCTGATATAACAGTTCATGTGGGATATACTAATAGAGGTATCACGGTATGTTAGATTAAAATTTAAATTAATTTGTTTCATTATGAATAATCATTGTATACATGTGTCGATATATTATTTGGTTAATAATATACTTAAGAATAAATAAATATTCCACAGATTGAAATCATGAGTCAGTTGAAGCTAGACCATCATTGAAAACCTGGGAAGCACTGGACGGCCGTTTCGTCCTGGTATGGGACTCCTCAGCAGTGCTCACTCACGACCCCGCACCGCGCGGGGCTTGAACCCAGGACCTACTGGCTTCGCGCGCGAGCACTTAACCATTAGACCACTGAGCCGGTATCCAGCGGTGTTAATGTCTAACTTCAACCAATCCACGAAGTTGCGCCACCATATACCATTGTCTTCAGTGAGCTGATATCTCACAACAGACCTGGTTGTACTCCACCGGTAACGGCTTCTCACTAGAACTCCAGGAGTATCTCTTGAAGTCAGTCACTAGTGAGCAGATGATTATTATCAGAAGGGGTTTGTGGAGATTTGTAGAAATAAATTTCATCATTGAATTTAGTCATAACTCCTTGTTATAAACATTGAATTTTATTGTTTATTTGCCTCACACCCTGACACTTTAGCTCCACTGATAACGACACACTTTTGAGGAGGCGGTACTAAGACAAAACGGCTGTACAGTGCTTCCAGGATTTTAATGGTGGTCTAACTTAGATTGGCTAATGATTTTGATAAAATTCAACAATCTCCACAACCCCATACTGACGATTATTTATTTAATATTTTGTGCTATTTAACAAGGGCTCTAGATGTACATCCATTAGTTCATATTTGAATTTATAGTTCCTGAGATTTATACGTGAAAATTGTTGTTCGCAAATGTAGGTTGACTCAAAAAAATTCATATTGTACTTGTTAAAATTTTCAGATCGTGCAATTGGTTCTTTCTCACCGATAAATGGAATTTAATCAATATTGGATATTTGAAGCATATATTTAGACTGTTATCAGCTTGTATGTTCATTGTTTCATGTTTATCTAGATCAGTATTAAAAGGAAATTGCACAATTACTATATTAAACTGTGAAACAGTGAAAACGTTGTGAGTTAGGTGCTGAAAATCAGTAGCTGTTTTCCTGAACAGATTCTAGTAGGACCGTTTTTGTGCTAAATGTAGGGAAATAAGCATAGTTAATTTATTCAGGTTGTTAGGATAACAAAATACTTTTAATTTTTAACACTGTATTCTGGATTAAATCCACATACATTACTGTTTCGTTAAGAGAATTCCAAGTCATATAGTCTCTCATCACTTTTTATCAGATTTACAATTAACCTCATGGGCTGTAGTTTAGCTTGATCATTCAAATATATTAGTTTTATACCACGACTGGAGAAATTTATTAAATTTAATTCACCAATTGTATTGAAATGCATCTTCGAGAGTATTATCACTCCTTAATGATTATTTGTTCCTAATTTCCAGCTTTTGTTTTCAGGATTTACCCATAAATTGATAAATTTTGTCCAAGAAATAGTAACACAACTTGTCGATTATTGTGAACCAAAAACTGATCGTTTCGAATGCATCCGTGAGAAAATTTCGCAAAATATTACCAATTTTTCAGTAAAACCAACTCATCATCAGGCCTGTACATATTTAACGAATATTACTTTACACCATTCTTGGATTAATGATGATTTTATTCAAGCTCTAAAAGGTAAGTACGTGTTCTTGATTTTTGAGTAATTTTTCATTCGAATCAGTCGCAAACAATCTAATTCTTAGTACTGATGTTCAACTACTCAAGTTACTACGTCTCGTGTTAGCTAGAGATTTGTGTTCTCATGATTCCAATCAGTGAAATTACTAAAACCTTCACAAAACCCCTTCCAATAATAATCATCTGCCCACTAGTGACTGACTTCAAGAGATACTCCTGGAGTTCTAGTGAGAAGCCGTTACCAGTGGAGTTCAACCAGGTATGTTGTGAGATATCAACTCACTGAAGACAATGGTGTACGGTGGCGCAACTTCGTGGATCGGTCAAAGTTAGACATTAACACCGTTGGATGCTGGCTCAGTGGTCTAGTTGATTAAGCGCCTGGCGCGAGACTGATAGGTCCTGGGTTGGAATCTTGCGGGGTTCGGGATCGTGGATGCGCACTGCTGAGGAGTCCCATACTAGGCTGAAACGGCCGTCCAGTGCTTCCAGGTTTTCCATGGTGGTCTAGCTTCGATTGACTCATGATTCCAATCAGTGGAAATGCAATTTGTATGAAAATGCAAGAACAGTGAAGTCTGAGTCATTTCGAGACAATTGATGAACTCTTTGCAAATTAGGCATTTACATTATGATTGTTAGATTTTATTAACAAGTCCTGTAAGTTTGTGTTAAATACATTCGACTGTATCCAACTGGTGTTCTTGTTCACCACAGTGTTAATAAATTTTAAAGGTTACTTAACATCCACTGTGAAAATCGTTACTGAAATTGCTCCACTGAGTTTCGATTGGAAATTCTTTAAGTGATTCGATGACTTATTCATTTTTTCATCCTAGATATTACCTACGAAAAGTTGGTTAATTATATCAAAGAGTTTTATGAACGCATTTTTATCGAAGGCCTTATATATGGCAGTATCACGGAAGAGGTAAGCATACAGTAATGTGGTTAATATCATTTTTTAGGTTAATTCAGTAATGAGAATATGACTAGGATTTCTTTGTAGAAATTTAAAATGTTAAAATCATTTATAGTTATTGATACATGAATATTATAAATTGTGTACAGTAATACACAAACATTATGAACAGGCTTTTCATTTCAACTTGAGTAATTAGTTCATAACATTAAGAAAAAGACGAGTAGGTGAAAGAACAATTAGAAACAGTGAAACAATCCCATAAGTAACTGTTAGTTACTGTCATTATAATGCTCAGCACAAGTATTTATCAGCCCATTTCGTATTAGTCACGATGAAGTGAAACCAAAAAGAATTTCAAAGGTATTATAATTAACCCTAGTAGACATAATAACCAAAGAGATTAAATAATCATTGATCAAAATGGATAAAAATGTATTTAAGATAGAATACTCAGTATCCAAAGAAAGATAAAGAGTGATGGCATGTGATCTATGCTTACCGATTCTAAAACATGTTACACAACATTCCCAGCGACCGGTTAAAGTTATCATGCGGATCTCAAACAGGAATTCTAGATCTATCAGCATGACCTATACGGTAATTAAATGATTTTATGGACTGACATTATGGAGCTAACATACCAAGAACTGTTCGTCTTTGAATGTAGTTACACTCAATGGAGCTTCCATTGTTAACTTATTACAACAGAAAACTGCAAAACGATTGCAGTTGACTTCAGTTAATATTTAAAACCACTCAGCCACATCTGTCGGATGTTAGTCAATGAAATTTACTGTTTCACACATATTTAATTTATTGAAAATTCATTTCTTCTATCTCTAAAGTCATATCTTCTGATGTTAGAATAGACTACATGGTATTCTCACCAAACGTGATATATGTGCATCAATTAAGCTAAATTATTTTGATAACTTGTAACGCAAGTGCATTGAATATGTTTATTCATGGACGTGATGTATACAACTAATATAGCCAAGCTAACATCTGAATATCACCAAAAGTAACGTAGACACGTATTTGAAACTGTTAAATTTCCTAAGCAAGCATTAATTTCACATTATCTGTTTAAATAACACAAACATCTACTGTGATTTACAGACCTTTGAACGATTCTCCGTTTTTTTAATGATGTGTGGTTTAGATCATATTTCACTCTTAGATTTACTTATCACCAACCTACTGAATTGTGTATTCTATGTCACGATATTCATTCAGTGAATGATTAGCAGTTTGTATATTGACCGTAGATTAACCTTTTTATTCCATAGTTCGATTATTGATCACAGTAATTGTTCTTGAATGTAAAGGGTAAATTGCTTTCTGTATCACTTGGAAAATAACTTAGATAAATTTGTCGATTATTTTTCTAAATCATGTTTTTCAACTAGTCATATCGATGTTTCAAATTTCCATCTACAGGATGCAATACATTATTACGAAATGATTCGAGATCTGTTAATACAAAAATTTGATTCTAAACCACTTTTGCTATCTCACATCGCAACACCTCGAGAAGTTATAATTCCTGAAGGTAAACACCTTTGTCCATCAGTTTTTTTCGGAAATACGGTATATGAATTATATATATAGGCTGTGGGCCGTTCACTCGGCCAAATCTTGGCAGACATCTTTATGGTAAACCTAAAACAAACTGTCATGAAATCGGTGAATAGTATCATAACGTTTTATGTGAGGTAAGTGAGAGGAGGCTGAATCGACCGTAGTTGAATGTTGCTTACATGAGAACAGTTATTCTCAAAAAGTCATAAATATATTACAACTAGAGAAAATGAAATATCCTACAGTTGAGAAAAAGCCTGTCTTCCTAAAATTTGGTTTCAGAAGGAATAAAATAACTGGAAGCATTGACTTTAAACTAAAGGTAATGCCTAAAGGGACATATTCAGCGACCAAGTTAATGTCTTTATAGCAAACCAGATGCTCGTTGTGACAGTCAAATGTGGACAGATACCCACCTAGTGTCATCTCCAATGAGTTTAACAGTTTACATGCACGTAACAAAGTACATACTTTGGAAGAACAGAAGGAAGCACCCGTGTCCATATCTCCGAACATAATCCACAAAATTTGAGGTTAAACGGAAGGTTTTGAACAGCTCAATCGCTCGTCATCTACTCGACAGTAGGCATGATGTTATAGTTTCAAAATCTTTCAGAATGATTAATAAAAATAGGGATTCAAAATTGTTACGCTTTACCGAATCTATTGCAATAAAAAAGATTTAAATGCGGTTTATATATCCAGAACTAATCTTTTCTAGCCCTGTTGACCTTATCTTTATGAGATTATTACGTAAGACCTTTCTTGTATAAACTTTGAATAAAATTTCTAGTGTCATAATTCGTACTTCTGAGCTTACTTATCTAGTCTATAGGTTAAGCGCTTGCGCACGAGACTGATAGGTCCTGGGCTTGAATCCTGCGTAGGCGGGATCTTGGATGCGCACTGCTGAGGAAACCCATACTAGGACGAAACGGCCGTCCAGTGCTTCTAGGTTCTTCATGGTGGTCTAGCTTTAATTGACTCGTGAATTCATCTATTAAATTAATCTATACTAAATAGTCTGTCTTCGGTTTCGTAAATAAAATTCTATTTCCATGCTCTTATAAAATATTCATATACTTAACGAGTTTCAGTTGTGTGACTTGTTCCCTATTATTGTCTCCTAGTATTATTCTATCTCCATATTGAGTAAATTCATTCCAGATTTTTGAAGTATTTACACTTGTTTCATTCTAACGATTAATGACACAGTTTTAAGGTATGAGCAGCTCAGTAGAATCCACGAAAGAAAACAATTCATGTTATTCTACTACAATATTCGTTCTTTCTTTCTTCAGTTTTATAAATTAGAAAATTTGTATGAAATATGTTTGAACGTCGATAGAGAACTAGGTGACATTTTTTTTTAAAAATTATGTTTTGTTATTCTGGTCAATTTGGACAAATAATGAACAGATACAGTAATCACAAAGACTAGAACTTTAAACTACTGTAATTTTCCACTTTGTGACTTAAACAATCTTGTTGTCATACAAATTCAGATTATTCCACTTATCTGAATTCTGATTCTTTAAATTGTAATAACTAAATTAATATTATATTACATTATGTTTATTTTTACTACAATCTCTTACTGAATCTTATCTCACAGTGTACTGTAAGATGTGAGGTTTAAATTGATTGATGTTAATATGTGTAGAATACCTTCACGTAATTATCATAACCATTATGTGGTTACCGTAGCGTAATATCGCTTGGAATCGGTTTCGATGGAGCAGTTACATTTAGTTTTTGTCTTTTCTTAAATCAAAATAACCTTATACATTTTTTTCTCGAATCATATTGTATGTTCTTAATGTTTTCTACTATCACTGATAGTGATATTACTTCTACTACTTAATAATTCTTTCTTGGTTTCCTGATGTAGTGTGCTAGTTTAATCTTCTGCATGTGTCAGGTTCTACTTTGCATAAAATCTGACTGACAAGACGAAAATAAGTTATTTTTTATCCGAATTGTGTACATTATTTATTTTGTTGATTATTCTTATTCCAATCGTTTCTCTTATTTTATTTAGATTCCAGTTTTCTTTATCAACGATATATTTCTGGTCAACCAGCTTCTGCGATTTACTATTACCTTCAATGTGGTGAGCAGTCTACGCTTAACAATACATTACTTCATCTGTTTTATCAGATTGTAAGAGGACCCATTTTCGATAAACTACATACGGAACAACAATTGGGTGAGGAATTATTATTGAGTATGGAACGTAGTAACTATAAATACCATTGAATTATAAGAGACGCATTACCGATATCTTAAGATATGAGTTTAAATGGTTTGAATTATTTTTTCTGGTTAGCGTTTTTTAGCGAGTTCATTCTCTACGGGATAAGGTCAATAAGCCCGTGCCCAACCCTCCTCCTTTTTACGGGCTTGGGACCGGCAGTAACCTAGAAGGGCTCCAGGCTCCATCAGAGAAGTCAAGAGCGGGACGAGAGGACATTCCAGCAGATGCCTAAAAAGCAGATTTAGCAGTACCTGCAAAGATACTCTGCATTCTCTTCTGCAAGATTTGGGATGAAGAACAAATACAAACAGACTGGAATGAAGTACACCTGATCAAGATACCAAAGAAAAGCGATCTTATAAACTGCAATAACTACAGGGGCATCACTCTTCTCTCAATATCGCGAAAAGTCTTCAACAGGATATTGTTAAACAGAATGAAGGACTCCGTAGACGCTCAACTTCGAGACCAACAGGCTGGATTCCGTAAGCATCGGTCGTTTACAGACCATATTGCAACACTACGGATCATTGTGGAATAATCAATTGAATGGAATTCATCGCTCTATATCAGCTTCATTGACTACGAGAAAGCATGTGATAGCTTACTCTCACCCTTTCTCTTTCTCCTGGTGATCGACTGGATCATGAAGACGTCAACACCTAGGGGGGGGGTGGAAGCACGGGATACAGTGGATAGCTAGGATGAAGCTGGACGATCTAGACTTCGTAGATGATCTGGCTCTTCTGTCGCACACGCATCAACAAATGCAGGAAAAGACGACCAGTGTAGCAGCAGTAGTTCTCAACATAAACAAAGGAAAAAGCAAGATTCTCCGATACAGTATAACATGCACCAATCGAATCATACTTGACGGAGAATCTCTGAAGAATGTAAAAACCTTTACATATCTTGGCAACATCATTGATGAGTACAGTGGATCTGATGCAGATGTGAAGGCGTGGATCGGCGAAGCAAGATCAGCATGTCTACAATTGAGGAACATCTGGAACTCAAAACAACTGTCAACCAACACCAAAGTCGAAAATTTCAATACGAACGTCAAGACAATTCTACTGTACGGAGCTGAAACTTGTAGAACTACTACAACCATCATCAAGAAGGTACAAGTATTTATAAATGGTTGTCTACGCAAGATACTCAACATCCATTGGCCGGATACTACCAGCAATAGCCTACCGTGGGAGAGAAAAAACCGGATGCCAGCGGAGGGGGGGGAATCATGAACAAGCGCTGAAAGTGGATAAGAAAGGACACAACTGTGTCATAATGCAATCCCTCACTTGGGATTCTCAAGGCCAAAGGAGAAGAGGAAGACCAAACAACACATTACTCCGAGAAATGGAGACAGACATGAGAAGAATGAACAACAATTGGATCGAACTAGAAAGAAAGGCCCAGAATAGATTGGGTTGAAGAATGCTGGTCGGTGGCCTATGCTCCCTTGGGAGTCACAGGCGTAATTAAGTTATGAGTAATTCTCAATTATCTTAACTATCAAATAACTAATACGAATATGTGTTTTTGGTGACTAGTTCATACATTTTATTGGCATTTTAGTCTTGTAGTGTAACACAAAAAGCTAAATTACAAATATTTAAACATAGTCCTATTCATTTAGACTAGTGGCCACAATGCAAAGTGATCGATAGAATTCGTTCAATACTAAAAATAACTTCATCACTAATCATTGATCTACTAATTATCAGCTAACTGTCCACTAGAAAAGGAATACTTGGGTATGGTGATTAAACTACTGAATAATTTAGTCTCATGAACTTTTAAATTTAAGGTTAATTTGCAATCAACCAAACTCTGACCTTATGTCTCAATATTATCCTATGCTTTTTCAGATTCAGTGGTTTTTGTGTGATCTTTTTGTGTTTATAGTCCTGTAATATGTCATATAAGATCAGTCACCTGTTTAGTACTTCCTGGTTTTAAGTGGTTCAGCATTTGGTTTTACATCATAATTAGGGTTAACTTTTAATATGGACAGAAAGTGAAGGTGTGTGCTCCATTTTTATGTCTTACAGAAGGATTGTTTTTCTGTTACGTGGTAATTTTTTTTGCATCGTTAGTCCCTGACTTATTTCTCCATAGTTATGTCATACCATTTTGCATATTGAACTATTCATTTATATTACGTATCTGTCCCATATTTAAGTAGTAGTACTGTAGTGAATGAAAACTTGGTGGGGATGGCCAATTCACTGTTTTATGCAAAATCAAACAGTAGATTTGTAATGTATGAAGATTGTATATTAAGTACATTCTACGTCCAATTCCTGCTACATACTACTTACGTCCGTCCGCATAAGTAGTGCACACCACAGACTGCCCCGACGTGCGATGTTCAGTGGTGTAGGAGTGAGTTAGAAGAAAGCTAGGGGCGGCCATACCAAAACATGGCACAAATCCATGAAGTCACTGACAAGTGGACTGAGTCATGTTGATAGAGGTGCACTACCTGCTTGGAATCCGCCTAATGATAGTAACTGATGGTTAGAGACCTTGAATGACATGGCTCAAAATCGTTTCAATGGTGCAGGTGCATCCACTCTTTGTGTTCTCCCGAATTCTAATCTAAATTCTTCATGTCCCTGTTTTTCCCTTTCCAAACTCATTTCACTGGATTATACTCCTTGAGTAACTTTTTCGAACCCTGATGTATCCGATTACTTCTTATACTCTTACTACCTCTACCACTACGGGATTTGAATCGACAACTGCATCTCTGTGTTGATGTGGTGTGGCAACCCGAACTGATGTACGTACGTACGAAGTTCTACGTTGTTACTGACTGACCGACTAAAATTTTACTTACATTTTATTAACCTAAAATTGACCATTCTATAGACGTTTTATTCTCTCTTGTTTTTTCATGTTCACATTGAAGGTTATATTGTACAGGCTGGACTTCGACGATCCAACAAACTGCAAGGTTTTCGTATTTTAGTGCAATCATCTTATCATCCTAATAAAATTGATAAATGTATCGAAGAATTTCTACTTACTGTAAATGTGAGTGTTACTGATTGTTTTCCTTCCATCAAACTGTATACGTAATGGATTGTTGTCTGTTCTGTTCCGTCCTGTCATCTATGCTCTCATACAATGTATACGCCTCCAATATGATGGCTTGTACTTACGTACAGACTCCTTGATACAATCTACTAACTTTTCCTTACATATTGGTATTTTAGAAACTGTTAGAAGATATGTCTGATGAAGAATTTAATGTTCATGTGCAATCCCTCATGACACATTTACTGGAAAAACCGAAAGGTATGCAAGAACGATTTGGGCGTTTATGGTCTGAAATTGCTTGTCGACATTATAATTTCAAACGAAGTAAGTTTATGAATTTTTAATGCAAACATAGTTAGATCTAAACAACAATCTCGCTGAATACTTTTTTCATTAGTATTAACAATGGTATCGACCCACTAATACAATTCTAATGAATAAACATAGATATTTTATGATAGGGTTATTAATATCCGTGATACGACTAATAAAATTACCGTCATATAGTGAACAAACATTTGAACATATGAAGTATGTCAAAACTGGAAAAAAACGGTACCTCTTTAATTGATTTACACTGATTTTCTATAAGTACAAAGTAATTTTAGAAATTATTGATTGGCTAACTTTGTTTATTTTTCACACGTTTTGACCTCCTTCAGAAGTTGAAATATTTGTTCTGCATAATGAGATTCTAGATCACCTACATATTTCATTAATCATATTGTATATGTACTCTGAACCCAACCAAAGTGACTAAAGCCCATAGTATATATATACGCTCATATAAATTATGAATCGGGATAGATTTTGGTTTTGATCGAGTGAAAAACAATTTTGTTCACTGATATATTTTGATCTGATTTACGCCAAGATGTTAATATTGAACATTTAAAAGTTTCAAAATAATGAAAGTGATTATTAATTCTCTAAATAATTTGGAAATATTTTATTTTAATTTCTTGACTTTATTCTCAGATGTACATGCGGTTAGTGTATTGAAATCACTCAAAAAGAATAACATTATCAATTTCTTTAAAGTATGTATAATTCAAGAAGAAAATTTTATTCACTAATACCTTCTCTTTGTAAATTTGATCAGTTTCGTCTGACTATTTATAATGATAAATAACAATTGCTTTATGAAAACGATTTAAAACAAGTATATGCATTTTAATCAATTTATTCCTAGTTGTCGTTTTTCTTGTTTTATTGAAATTTCTGATCATATTTATGCTTGAATAAATATCAACTAAATAATCAGAAGGGGTTTTGTGGATGCCTACTCACTGGTCTAATGGTTAAGCGCTCGCGCGCGAGACTGATAGGTCCTGGGTTCGAATCTCGCGTGTTGTGAGATCACGAATGCTCACTGTTGAGGAATTCCATACTAGGACGAAACGGACGTACAGTGCTTCCAGGTTTTCCATGATGGTCTAGCTTAAATTAACTCATGATTTCAACTATTGAAATCAACTGAAATGATTGAATGTTATTGGATCAACATAAACTTAGTTTATTTCATAGAGTTCATATCATTTAGTAAACAAATGAATAGTCTGGTGATTTGATAATTCAATAGTAATTTAATAGATGAATTCACGAGTCAATTAAAGCTAGACCACTATGAAGAACCTGGAAGCACTGGACGGCCGTTTCGTCCTAGTATGGGTTTCCTCAGCAGTGCGCATCCATGATCCCGCCACGCGAGATTCGAACTCATGGTCTCAACTATTAAATTACTATAATATCCACAAAACCCCTTCTGATATTGGTTCAATAGTACTTAAATTTTAACTACAGATTTAAATGTTCAAATTTCGCTCCGATATACTTTGTTTTAAACTGTCACATAGTATTACTAAATTAAAAGTGGATAGGACTGTATAGTTTATGAAATAATAAAAGATATATGTCTATGTATCGTGAATGATTTACTAATCTTTAGAGTATTTCTTATTTATTGAAATACAATAAATTGAAAGTTTCATTGTAACTCATTTATAATTTAATTCTGAATATAGGAGTATATTGATCCTTCATCATGTACAAGAAGAAAATTAGTAGTTCAAATAATATCAAGTGAGGAACATTTATGTGATTCAGAATTAGTAATCATGGCAAGAAGGTTAGTAAAGTGCAAATTATATATATTTCCCTGTTTGAGACTATTATGTATTTGAGATATTTCAGTTTTTTTTTATTTTTTTATCAAATATAGTTTTTATGAAATTCATTAATAATGAGCTTTCAATTATTTGTCTTTTAAACTATTTGAGATGCACTTCTCACTTATAGGTAACGTAGAATCTAGCACAAATTTGAATTTCCTTAGATTCTCAAATCTTATTAAGATAACCAGAATGATCTAACAGGATAGTAATCTCGTTAGTCGAGGTAAACGTATTCTTAATAATACAAAACATCTTAAAAAAAACAATGTTGGGTCTCTAGACGTAATAGGTGGCTTTGATGATTCCTTGAATAAGATGCTGTGAACATGTGTTATATACACTAACCGGTTAGCTTTCAGAGACGATAGACCATGTTTTCATAATCCTTATAAGATAATTCTCTATTAATTTTAGCATATATTGTACTAGCTTCGAGAATCTCAGCGTCATATAGTCCATAGGTACACTTGTTTGTTGTATACGGACTCATTTTCAAAGTAAACCTCTTTTCATTCTTCCCGTCGTTTGTTTTCAGCTAAAAGTTCAAATGCAGTAGATATTTGATAACTAGAAAGCGTATAGGACGTCAATACCCAATCGATTGAACACATAATGTTTCAAGAGGGTAGAGAATGGAGCCATATACGTAATTACAACTAATTCAGTGGATTACATAGGCCTTGAAATAAAAAGGATACTCCAAAACACTAAACGTCCTAATTAATAGTTGATGTCATCTTATAAACAGGGATATTGAATCATTCTGTTCGTGCAGCTAGTTTTCCAGAGCTACCAATCGGGCAAGTGATTAGTCGTAGTCTTACAGCCAAATTATTCAGTGATATTTTGTTCGTTTTGACTGCAATGATAAAATTATGCATCACACATGGTCACTATTGATTGATTCATAATTGTGTAGCTACATATTACTCATATGTAGTACCGAATTACAGCACTATTTTGTTGGTTAATTCAGTTGGTTAACGAAGCTCTCCACTAGATTTCGATTTAGTGGCTGAGAAACAGACGGCTCATCGTTTGCGGCTTGCTTGAATATCTGGGATACCTGTTCCTGTCATTTAGATATTTCAACAAGTTATCTGTTTCCTTTTTTGTTTTAACAGATCATTATGTTAATTAAATCAATAACCAATTCAGGTGCATTTGTGAAAAGTGTACGACCTTTCACTGCGCAAGTTACAAAAATTTACAATCGGAAACATTGTGATGACTGGCAATATACATTAAAAGAATAAATATTATTCAGATGTCGACTTCCAAAGTATTTATATCTAACTGGCGATCATTCAATATTTATCGTCAATATCGATCCAGAAATAAGAAACAGAAACTCGCTGAAATACTTTGTGCTGAGAATTCTATATTTTATCAAAAATATAATATTAAAAAGAGCTAATAATAATTGCACGCAACTAAATTTAATGAAACAATTGCTCCTTTTCGCTGGGTTTGAGTCCTTTTCAGATAATCGAAAGTTGTACCAAAACCAGTCCTCATCTTAATCGATTGTTTTTAAAATCAATGCGAACATTAGCCTTTTCTCAGTTTATACTTAACCATTTGTTATTATTTTTGATTGTTATATAAATCAAAGCAAATCTCCAATGCTTTTTACTTTGATTTAGGTAGTCGTCTTAAAAAATCATACGGAATTGAAACGTTACTGTCCGCTGAGTTCTTTAACAAAACCATTCATGATGTTCACTTCCAAATATGAAGGGATATCACTACGATTTTAATCCGGTTATCTGGATTGCAGATTTAGAAATATTCAATATACGCGTCGCTTTTTGAGATTGCCAAAACGTGTCATTTTTCATGCACTAAACGCTTTTGATTTTTTAATGTCTTTATTTTTCTCTTGGAAAGATTTGACACAAAGCATGTTTTGTAAATCTCGCTTTCATAAGACAAAATATTTAATTATGTATATGCTTTTCTACTAATTTTTGGTGCAGCTATTCATTTGACTGTTTTTTTATACTTTTCCTTGTGAATTAACTCATAATTATTTCTGAATATATTTTGGTACCTCATCTCCGCAAAGTAACTGAAATTCTTCATGGTGATTTTCAATCATTTCAGTGTATTATGATCTAAGGTATTCTTTAAATACATTTATGAAATTACTAGCTATTTTTTATTATATGTTCGTTGGTATGTGATGACAAATGAATAGTTGGAGAAATTTCCGTTTTATTTCTTCATAAATTTTTTTTCTTTTTTTAACTTCTGAATCAATAAAAACTTGTAGCTTAATACCGTATATTTCAATGTTTTAAACTCTCGTCTTTGAGAACAATAGACTTTTAACGTTAATGTGAGTGTTTATATATGTCACTACGGTTAGTCAAAGAAAAATATATATAATAAACATTTTTTCATGGACTTTCACCATACGTGTTAATTGTTGCGTTCAAAGTCTAAAGATTTACATTTTGGGAAGTGTGGAATAGGATAGATGTTACAGAAAGTATTGTCTATTTATTGCTGGTTCAGTGTCTTAGGAGTAAGTGTACTTGCTGAAAACATCAGGCTTTTACTATTTTTTACTTGGATCTACATAGGGAACTTATCACCACACGACCTTACAAGCGTAAGTTTATATCTTCGTGCTTTGCATATTCGCAGAGCAACGTACATCGTGATAATGAGTAATTATGAACTCAGTTTTGTGTCTCAACGTCGAAGCAAGCATTAATTAAGGATGAGAAATAGGTGTTCCATAAACTCATAAAAGTGGGATCTATCCCACAATTTATTAATTCACTGAGCTTCGAAATGACAATAGTAGGTGCTATACATACTTATGACTAGAACAATAACCTAACCTGACTAGTAGTAGTAATCAAAGAGGGTAGCAGGTTGAAAACTTTCAACTGTTCACTAATATAATTGATTTATACTGCTACAGAGGTCATAAAATCCCAACAAAAATGCTTTAACAGTTTGAAATTACATATAGACTAGCATACTGTGCATTTAGCTAGAGATTGTAGAGTAAACGGTATAGTTAGTTTAGGAATAATCTGAGTTTCATGCTCTCTGGCTTGTAGCAGTTTCATGAACTGGTTCTGCACCCTTGAGCTGGTAAAACCAGCATCTATTTCGAGAAGCTAAGTAGCCATATATTTGAGGGATAGTCAGTTAATGCTTGAAGCATACAAGATAAGAGTCGAATTTGAAAATCCTAGCACATACGTGGTGATATGTAGTGTATATATTTCACCCCATGACTTGAAGCTGTTTGAAACGTTACTGCCAATTTCTCTTAGAGAAGCTTTTATACTTAATTAACGAGGTCAGTTGTTCCTTCAATCTTTCAAACGCTACTGATCAGAAATGGAGTTATTTGCACCTTGGGATCTGCATCTCGACGGTAGTAGAGAGTTCTAGGTTAAAGTATGGCATGAATCTCAGTTTAGTTTCTCAGCAAACAGTTATTTAAGCTGAAGAGAAGAAGGACAATGGTAAAAGTGAGCAAACGGCTCAATAAACCTATAGAATGAACTTATCTGATAAGGTAATCAATAGAAGTTTGCAATAACACAAGCAAGGAATGAGACGAATTGATAATGGGAACTATAAGTTGATAGCGTTAGATTCCAGATGTCTTTTAAACAACACTAAGGGCTAACAAAGAACGGTGTACTACCACTTAGAAGAAAAAAGTTCATTCAACAGAGCAAAATAGGTAATATAGAGAAGATGGTCTGATAGAGCTTCCAATTCTAAGCATTGGAATCTCTAGACTCCATGCAATTTGTTTAGCCATTTCAGACTAACCGCGAGTTTGACAAGAAATACAGATTTTTATGTAGGAAAATTGTGCAAAGTTTAGGTGATTATGGAAAACGCTAATGGTTGGAGTGCGCTAGATAGTTAAGAGCAGAAGCAGTATCACATTTATTGCTGGTCAACAGTCATGCAGTAAGACTGTTCTTGGCGATTGTTTGTTAAACCGCGGTGTCACTGAGCCATTAACACCTAAAAACTCTAAATACAGGCAGAATATTCAAACTGGTGAGTGCATGAGCACATTTTTTCATTGTTGAGTGTTGAGTATATTTTTCTTCCTATAACCGAAGAGTAATTTTGCGAAACCGTTAAACGTCTGTGAGCAAAGCCACTCTTGACGGTGAGACTCACACCCATCTGGTTAGCTGTGTAAGCATCAGTATCACAGATTCCATAATCACTGTACATCGGGCCACCAAAGCATCCATTAGTATCGCAGTAGACAAATCCGACTCGGCAACATGAGTAGTTTTACCACAGTGAGTAAATAACACCGAAAAATCCTGTGCAGTCTCGAAATGAATATGAGACATTGAATCGAGGTATAGCACTTTCGGTAGAGAACTCCTACTTATCAATTGTGTTGTACGGCATTTTCAAGGCTTTGTGGAGATTCACTCTGTTCACCGCCCGTAAACCTCCAAATAATTATGTCGACTCATCTTCAAACAAGATCTCGACAACTGAACAACGTCTCGCAATTTACTTCAGATATTCAACGTATTTCAGGAAAAACAATGTAGTGGCAGACGCATTGTCTCGTATCACTTCCTTGAACGAGTTTCGACCTCCTTGAACTCGATCAACTTCAAAAGCAAGACGATGCTCCTCAGCACGGGGTACTCTCGACAACCCCAAAACAGTTTATGAAATTGTGCTATGCAACACGTCTTCCGATAAAGGTAGTTCGATCGTGGCAAAACACTATGGATGCCATTTCTTCAATTCGTTGCTCCAACTTCCTCTTCAACACGTTCGAGTGACTATCAATTTCGAAGCAGAACGATTTTGCTGGCCTGCTATAAACAAGGATGTGAGGGAGTAAGCACATTCATGTGTGAGCTGCCAGAAATCTAAAGTGATCGGACACAACAAATGTCAACTGGGATCTTTCGCGCCTACAAACTCTCGTTTAGACTATTTTCGCCTTGATTTTTCGAAACCCTTAACAAGTTCAAATAGACACTTTTATCTCCTAACGTGTGTGCCAGCGGTTGAGGAGGTAACGAACGAGAATCGCAGGTCAA